GGGAAGGGGTGATGGGGGAATCCACGGGAGGAGAAGGGGTGATGGGGGGATCCAGGGGAGGGGAAGGGATGATGGGGGGATCCAGGGGAAGGGGAAGGGATGATGGAGGTTCCAGGGGAGGAGAAGGGGTGATGGGGGGATCCAGGGGAGGGGAAGGGATGATGGGGGGATCCAGGGGAGGGGAAGGGATGATGGGGGTTCCAGGGGAGGAGAAGGGGTGATGGGGGGATCTAGGGAAGGGAAGGGGTGATGGGGGAATCCACGGGAGGAGAAGGGGTGATGGGGGGATCCAGGGGAGGGGAAGGGGTGATGGCAAGGGAGAGAACAACCGGCTCTGAATATCCCAAAATCCACCTGCAGAAACACCCACTGTGGTGATATTACAATGGTTGGGAAGTAAGTTACTAGTCTGTGGCGTCAGACATGTACTGGTGCCTTTTTAAAGGGAATGAGCAGGGAACAAGCTGGTCCTTTTGCCATGTAAAGCCGCAGCACCCAGCCTGTCTTCAGTGTGAGTACCCAGAAGGTACTTTTCACAGCAGAGAAGCTAAGGCAGGACACTGACTTTGAATCCTGCCTGGGAAACACATCAAGTTCATAACCAGCTTGAAAAACTTTGAGTTTTAAACACCAACACAGGTTATGAAGTGACCTAGGACTTCTCATAATGAAAACTACCATCAAGCTGAGGCGCTCAGGCCGGTAAGCTAGGGCGCTGTTGTTGAAAGAAGGGAAAACCGTCCTTGACAAAGACCGGATCTAAGGGAATGAGGCAAGCGGGGTCTTCAGGCTGGCTCAGTGGGGAAGGCTTTAACACCAAGTGTGGGAGACTTGATCGCTGGACCACACCACATGCAAGAAGAAGAGAACCAGCTCCTGCAGTTCTCCTCTGGCCTCCACACATGTGCCAGCACAGACTCAACTCTCCCCTCCCCCGGTTCTGTTAAGAATAAATGGAGTAAGAGAAGGGGAATTTAAACTGGACTTGGTTATTCATGGGAAAGGACTGAAAATGATTCAGTTTTCAAGAGCAGACATAGTAAAGAATTGTAAGAATATTAGCAGTATTGAGTGTGCAGGTGAGATTGAGCCTGGGTGCCTACAATGAGACTAACAGTAAATTAACAGTTATTCGTCTCCATCTGCATTTAGCTCTTAGGTACAAGAAAGACAGTCAAGCTTGAATTTAATGGATTTTGGGATCTCCCAGGTAAGAAGCCAAAAACACAAGAGCAGAGAAATTTAAGAGTATTTGTAGTCAAGTGTAATCACGTGGTTGCAGTGACAAACTATTTAGCTTTTAGAAAATGGATAAAAGATATTGATACTTCCCTCTTCTGTGAACTCTAAGGTATCCCATTAATGTTATACCATATATACACCTCATCACAGTGCCATAGAGCATACCCTTGCTGACACAAGTCTTTTATATTCCAAAACTCCAAGCAACAAACTCAGATTTATCTATTTTTAAAAGAGACAGTTTCTAAAGATACAGAAAGAAAAATAAACTTATGGTTGAAATAAATGTTTCCGTTTTAAAGGGCAGGTAACTGGGTCTCCCTGAAACATTTCTATGGAAACACAGTTAAGTTACTGATGAATGAATCAAAAGAAAAAGAAGGCAGGTGTGATGGGGACATGCTTGTACCCCCCCCACCCCTCCGCACTCAGCAGGCAGAGGTGCGAGAATCCCCACAGGCTGTGCCCATCCTGATCTACAAATCAAACTCCAGAGTCCATGTAGACTAGCCTGGGCTACAGAGTGAGGCTATCAAGCAAAACACAAAAACAAATAAAACACACACACACAAATCAATCAACCAATCAATTAATTAAAAGATCATGATAGCAGAAACTAAACTTAACCACGATTAACTTTACATGGGAAAATCAAAGCCACTAGCTCCAGGGCACCCCGTCTCAGAATAGCCCTGTCCAGACAGCATGGGAGCAACTCTAACCAGGCAGCTCAGCAAGGCCAGCTGGTGAGCCGAACTCAGACACTCTAACTTCATATCTAGCTTGCTAAATAATTCAAAATAATCTTAGGGAGCTGACCATTTGATTATAGAAACTGCTTTAAAATCATTTTAAAAAATTCTCTTCATATTTAACTAGTATCACAGAGATCCTACAAAAGGTAAAATATACTCTTAATTTATCAGTTTAAGCAAAATGTATCACAGTCTTTGTTTTGAATAGATTTTCAAGTCTTTCCCATGGTGGCCAAAATACATGGATTAATCAGTTTAATTCAGTGAATTTAAAAATGGGTTCCTGATACATGTCAAGAAAAGAAAAGATAAAACGGTGGCAACAAAAAATGTGTGTTTTTCATTCTGTATTCACACTCACTGAAGAAGCCACAAATTTAAATAATCTTATTTGGAATGCAAGAATGTTAAAGTGGATATTAATGTCTTCTTTTTCTTTATTTTATTTGTATCTCTGTGTGTAAGAGACAGTATGTGCTCCAGCTCCTCAGCCCTGGAGTTGGGAGTTACAATCAGCTGTAATGATGGGCGCTGAAGTCCCACCCTCTGCAAGGGCAGCCAGCAAGCACTCTTAACCACTGAGACATCTCTCTAGTCCCTAAAATTTTCTTTCTACTCAAAAGTTCTAAATTGTTTTGAAGGCTCTGAGAAAGAGAAGCTGAGAGTCAGCTGTTCAGTTCATGACATGTGCTTTCCTTCTGTAGATTATAACAGAAAAGCCTACTTTAAAAGGGTATTTTTAAATCAGAAAAAAAAAACAAAAACAAAAATGATCAGGCTAATCACTAACAATATTTCCTATATTATGACCCTGGGCTTCACACTCCCTGTCCTCTCTCCAAGCCTAAAGTAGAGCAGGGCAACTGACCTATATGCCTCCCTCAAAACCAGGCACAGCTAACTTATTCTAGAAAATCTAAGCTGATGACTTGCTACTTTAGGGTCTAATAAATAGCAGACCTCTAATTTAAGAGGCTCTCAAAATGTGGTCATCTGGGATCCTTGTAGAAATGCAATTTCCAGGTTCCATCAAGACGAAGTGTGCCTAGAACTCTTACCTGCCCCCCACATGACATTCTGACACACAGCTGGAGGACCACCTTCTGGGAGAGAGAGCATGTTTTCTTTTCTTTTTTTTTAAGACAAAGTATCACACTGTAGCTCAGACTGGCCTAGAACTCATGATATAACTAGGGCTGGTCTTAAACTCATGACAATCCTCCGGCCTCAGCCTCTTGAGTGCTGAGATCACAAGCTGGCACACCTGGGAAGAACCACTGTACTGAACCTGCCAGGAATCACCTTTCTGTCACTTTCTATTGGTAACTTAAAACGCTTATTTTTCTTACCTGCCACAACTCTGAAATGACTGGAAACGAGGCTACCAATAATTTCCCTGTGTCCCGTTCATAATGAGATAAAGTTTACTTTTAAAGATTTTAATTACCTTGTGTGTATGTTCCTGGAGTTGGAATTATAACTGTGAGTAGCCTGATCAGGTGCTGGGAATCCAACTCCAGTCTTCTGAAGACCAGCAAACAATCTACCCATTGCTCCAGCCCGAGATAAACTGTCCTTAGTTCTCAGAGCACCAGTTCCCCATGTGTAAACACTATCACATATCTCCAAGAAGAGGAGGGGCTTACAAAAAGGCTCTCTTCTCTCCCTCACCTGCGAATGCTCCTGAAAAGGCAACCCTTTGGCTTCCCCTGAGAGGCGCCATTAGTGCTTTTTTACAGAAATACCACAGTGAGAAATGAAGTGCTGAACGCCTTAAGAATCATACAGAGAATAATAATTTGTAAGAAGTGACTGATCTACACACTGCTGAAAAGGTAAAGCAAACCAAAATAAGCATTTCTACATCTGAACAAAACAGACACTAAACACAACATAAACAACATTCTTTTAAGTATCCAAAATAAGTCATTAACGATAACTGAGCATAATTAACACGGATGGAAAGAATTAGAAAATTCCAGAGAATTCAAATATATGATCTATATATTAAAGCGGTCCAGGCCTTCAAATTCCACTCCCCTCCAGACTGAAGCTGGTTCCAATGCCAATGACTGGTCTCAGTACAAAATCTGACTTGAGGTTCAAAGAACATACGGGCATCGGAAAGCCAAAACAAACAAAAAGCCTACCTTTAATGGAGATGTAACAACAAAATAGTATGACTTTTTCACAAAGAAAGAATGCCACAGACACTTTCCTGAGGCTTTCCCCATCAACTAGTCCCAAATCCACTCCCTCAATCCCCACCCCCCATGGAACAGTCAATTGTTTACTTTCCTTGACAACTATCCCCTTCCCCTCCCCACTTTCAGGAATGAGTACAGGAGCAGTGGCCAGGACAGATATATCACTACAGCACAGTAACCAAGCTGGGAAGCACTGTTCAATGGGCATTCGGGACTTCAATGCCTAAGTCCTCCCCGCTTACACCCGAGCTGGGACAGGCCTCCTGTTTTGCTAGTATGCTGGGAGTAGCCAACATTCCAGTCTGGAGGCCAGGGTGATATGTAAGAGCTCCCTATCTTTTTAAGGAGATTCCCCCACCCCAACCCTCCGCCCCGAGAACTAGAAAAAGTAGCACCAGCAATTTAAAAAAAAAAAAGTTGAATGACGCCATGCTGGGAACTGCAAAACCACAGCACCGAGCCCCGCAACTTGGGAGCAGCCAGCCCAGCATGGACTTCTCCAGGCGGCAGCCTGAGTCGCACACCCGACGCGGGGCGCTGACTCCAGGGACGAGCCGTCTGCCCGCTCCGTCCGACCTGCACCCGTCCCGTGCCGGCCGCCGTTATCCCTCCCCGCGGGCGCCCCAGGCCGCCGTCCCAGCCTCGCGGCCCGCCGGTCGCCCTGTCCTCGGCTCGGGCCCGGCCTCCGCCGGTTCCGCCCTCCCGCCCAGCGCCCAGCCCCGCGTCTCCCACTCCGTGCGCCGCTCCCGCCCGGTCAGGGGACCCGGAGCTCGGCCCGGGGCAGGGCGGGACTCACCTTCGTACTGCAGGTCCACCAGGACCAACAGGAACGGGAACACCGCGCCCAGCCGGCTGCCCAGAGAGCCGGGGGCCACCATGTCCAAGGGCGCCGAGGCCGAGCAGCAGGAAGGTGCGCGGCCCAGCAGCCCGCGCGGCGCACAGCCCGCAGCCCAGCGCCCGCCGTGCGTCCGCTCACTCGGTCCCTCGGCCGGGCCTCGGCGGCGGCTGGCGCCCAGCGGCGGAAATGGCGGGGGGCGGGGCCCGAAGACGCCACGCCCCCCGAGCGCCGCCACCGCCGCCGTCCAATCGCCTCCCTCCGGGTCGCGGGGCGCCCGGGCTCGCCTGGGTCGTGGTTGGCGCCCATTGGCTGCGGACGCCGACGCCCCGCCCCGTCCCCGATAGGGTAACGTGGAAGCACAAGACGAGGCGGCGTCCGCCGATCGTGGAGCTGTCAGCGGGCTCCAAACCGTCAGCCCCGGGCCGGGGAGGAAGCGGCTGGGGAGGCCGCATGCGCAGCCCGCCGGAACGCTGGGGGCCCGCCTCGCGGCGGGGTTGGCGGAGCGACGCCGGGGGCGTCCCGGGTCCGCCCGGGCGGGAGGGCGGGGAGAAGGTGCGGGTGCCGTCCTGCCGGCCAGGCCACCACGGTCCAGGAAGTCCGGGACGTCGCAGAGAAGCTGAAGGCGGCGAGGGAGGGGACAGGGGAACGGGTACCGGGGCGGAAGGGAGCCTGAGAGCTGGCGTGGGGGACCTCGGGTGCTGGTAGACGCCAGTCTTATGCTAATGTCCCCCTCAGCAAGTAGCTACTCTCTTCAAGCCCCTGAGGGAATAAAGCTGGAAGCGACCTAGATGCCCGACCTTGGGAAGAGGCTTGGGGGACCAGAACTCTGGAGTTGTTCCAGTGAAAGATGTTAAGAGCCTCACAGTTGGTCTGGGCGTCTCTCTTAAAGTCCCTTCCTAGCCTCTCCCATGGAGCTTTCAGAATCATCCTTTTTTTGGTGGAGGTTGGCTAGCTGCAGAAGGCTTTCAAGTTCCCAGGCTACAAGCTGCCCTAGCCAGTTATGTATTGGCGAGTCCTTGAAATGCTTCGCTATAGAACCGGAGCGCATTTTTCCCTTGGTCTGCAGTGTTTGCCCTCGACTTTCCCAAGAAGCAGCCTTGCTTTTGGAAGCAAACTTTTCACCCACGGGAGCCGTTCTTTGGATGTCTTTACTGTGCCTGTTTCATTCAAAGAGATAAGAGCTTGATCAAGATCGAGTTCAAATTATTCAGTTTAGTTTTGATCATGGCCGTTTCTTCTGTTGTGAACACGTTCTCTATATCAGTCTTGTTTTAGACAGTTAAACAATGCGGTTTGTCGCCCAGTGATTTTGATACCTTAGTGTTACTTCGTGCTTTAAGAATTATGGTGATTTTTTATGAAAAATAAAAAGGAAGGGCATGATTGTTCCTAGCTATGGTGGAGGAGAAAGTTTATTGTAGATGAAGGTGAGCGCATAGAGGCAGAGACATCTGGGTGAGTCCAGAGTGAACATGACCAAACTAAGCCGTGTGAGGAGAGGGAAGAGAGGGGAACTGGGTTCCGCAGCCAAGAGGAGGAAGGGTTCAAAGTGGGAGGGGAGGGAGCGGTAACCAGAATGTTACCTCTGGGGCACTTTCAGGGTAAAGGGCGGGATTTGCCAAGCCACAGACTGTACCAGGTAGGGACTAAGCAATGCTGGGAGAACCAGGCTCTAAGTCCTCGTTGATATGTTAAATAGGCACCTTACTCACTTGTCCCAAGGTTTGGGACCTAACAGATTTGAAGATACACTGTAAAGGTTGGAAAAAGGAAAGGTTGCTCTCTCTATCCCATTTCCAAAGAAACAGAATGTAAAAGAAACCGTTCGTGGTTGGAAGCAGTGAGCCCCTGAGGAGCTGCAGGGAAGGGAGCGCTGAAAAGCACAAGGTTTAGATTCCAAACAGCTATTATATGTTATCCTGATCTGTAAATTAAGCAGGATCCTGAAACCTCAAGAGTTGGAGGTTTTATGAAGCAGGTAAAGGCTCCTGGGACTAATGCTACTCTGTTCTAACAGGAGCAAAATCATACAGAAACTTTCAGGTTTTGTTGAAGTTTGTTTGAGATGAATACAGATACACATATACTTCACAAGATAAAGTAAAAAGGTGGGAGATGATTTTATTGTCCTCAAGTAAACGTATCACACAAATGAGGCATTTCTGACCAAGCGAACCAACAAAGGAAAAAAAAAAACTGTGTATTATCCCTGGATGTCGCTTGTGAATCTAGCCTTAAGGAAAAAGAACTGAAAAAAGTCCTAATGAGAGAGAAAGTCTTTTTAGAACAATATGTGTGGGTTACAAACTAAGAATAGCAAGGGTCTTAAGTGCTGAGAGACTCTAAACATTCAACAGTCCTGTAGTAGCAGAACTACCATACACAAAGTATCCCTTGAAAAGGATTATTTAAAAAAGTGTCTATAGATTCTCTGTGGCTGTAACCTACCAAGGAAGGAAGGGTGGGTTGGTTTCAGCTCAGAGTTGTAGAGGATCTCAGTGTGGTGTGGGACAATGGTCTGTATTCTGTCAATTATATTTTAAATAAATGCTGGTTGGCCAGTAGCCAGGCAGGAAGTACAGGCAGGACAACCAGACAGGAAGTAGAGGTGGGTTAAGGAGAACAGGAAAATTCTGGGAAGAGGAAAGCCCATTCCTCTGCTGTCCTGTCCCAGCCACAGAAGAAGCAAGATGTGACTTCCTCACCATAAAATGTACCAACCCACATGGCTAACATAGACAAGAATACTGGGCTAATATCGTTATAAGAGTTAATAAGAAACCTGAGCTACTAGGTCAATCAGTTTATAACTAATATAGACTTCTGTGTGAGTTCTTTGGGACTTAATGATTGCAGGAACCGAGCAGGACAGAAAACTCAGTCAACATCAGTGCATCACAGCAGGGAAAGTATGGCAGTTGCAGTAATGGGAGCCAATGGAATCCTGTTCTCGGTCCATTGTCTCTGAATCCGGGCAGAGACAGGAGCAGAGGCAAAGCTGTACTTTAATCTTGGCACACAACCTACATTACCAGAGGCTCCACAACCACCCCAAACAGCACTGCTAGCAAGGGATGAGTCCTTCCAGCACTGTGACTGACATTTTGTGTTCAACCATCACAAAGTAACATGACTTTACACAAAAATAAGTACAGTCCCTTTGCTGTGGGATAATGGTCATGTATACTATAAAGATTTATCACTCATATTGGTTTAATAAAATGCTGATTGGTCAGTAGCCAGGCAGGAAGTATAGGTGGGGCAACCAGACTAGGAGAATTCTGGGAAGAGGAAAGGCAGATGCAGTCACCAGTCAGACACAGAGGAAGATGAGAATGCCTCACTGAGAAAAGGTACCAAGCCACATGATTAAACACAACAAGAATTATGGGTTAATGCAAGTTGTAAGATCTAGTTAGTAATAAGCCTGAGCAATAGGCCAAACTCTGCGTGTTTCTTTGGGACTGAATGGCTGCAGGACTGGGTGGGACAGAAATTTATGCCTACATTGCTTTAGGAGCTGGACAGAGAAAATAGAAAGTATAAAAACTTTGGGATGAGACAGTATGTTTTAAAGTTATTGGGTAACAATATAATAAACTTGAACCACAGTGGGATAATCTAATGTGAGACGTGGATAGAATGTTCTTCTCCTTAAGAGTGAGGCCACATCCTGATCAGGCCATAGTAAGTTCAAGGGATGGGAAGTGGAAGATGCAACCCATATGTGGAACTTACTAAACACCACAATGTAGCAACTTAGTGTGCTGAGGAGGAGGGTGAGGCCAAATGGAAGCTGCAGCTCACTGCATGGCCCTTGCTGAGTCACAAGAATGTCATGCCTACAGCTAGTATTGAAACAGTCAACACTCAGAATGTGCTATTTTTCACCCTCAAAGACAAAAAGTATGTGCAACTGAACCGTGTTAGGTCAGGTACTACCGTGTCAGTCACTTAAATTTTAGGCTCTCAGAAGCAGTTTTAATCTTACTCTGTGGAAACAGGAAGCCACCAGAGGGTTTGAAGCAGAGAACTTATCTTATCGGACTGTTCTTTGACAAACATCTTAGAGGTCAGATGTGATCGGGAGATTATTATGCCAAGCTAAGATGAAAAATGGAGATACTACAGAGATGGAGACAGAAGCAAGCTAAATTGTAGATTTCACATGGAGCAAGACGGTAACAAGTAGGTTAGATGGGGATTAGGACCTTTGAACGAATCAGGAAGAATGCCTACCATGGCTTAGGTAACTAGATGTTATCACTGGCTAACATCTGGCTTAGGTAAGAGAAGACAAAATGAAAATTAAGAGTTACTTTTTAGCCCTGTTATGCTAGAAATGCTTCTTAGACATCAGAGATATAAAGCAGGTGGTTGAATGTCTGCATTTGGAGTTGAGAGAAGAAAATAGAGAAGAAGGGTCATAAGATCAGGAGTGAATGAGATCACCTAAAGACAAGGTGTAAACAGAACTAAACAAAAATGGGGGAGAGTACCTAGGAGAAAGTATAGGGACAGCAAAAGACAGAAAACAAAATCCAGACATAGAAGGAAAACAAGGAGAGCTTAGTCCCACAAAATGTAAGATTAAAAGGTAGATCTGCAAAGAGGAGGAACTGAGTTGAAAGGCTACCATGAGGAAGGGAAAGGGAGACCTAGGGAAACTGAGGATTGTTGACTGATAAAGGAATCTCACCGGAGTTGGGGCGGGGGGGGGGGGAGTGACACGAAATATTAGTGGTGGGACACAAGGCAAGAAGTGATAAATACGGCAAACAGGCCTCTTCAAAGAATTATATCTAATCGGAAGCTTGAATCTTTCCATAGTAAGATTGCTAAAGAGTACGGCTTCAAATACAAACAGCGATGAGGCTATCTTGAGAGAGAGAAAGTTAAGGAGAAAAAAAAGGTTTTTGGGGTAGATTTTATAGCATATTTTACAGTGGCTACTGATGATGGAGGCTATAAAATAATCCCACTCTAGCTCAGAATTGAGTATAATAAAGGGTTATTTATTTAGGGGTAGACTCACAGATCACAGTCCTCTGCATGAATAGGGAACAGGAACCAAATCCAGCAGCTGGGAGAGAGAGCAAGCATGTTGTGCTTTGCAGCGGCATTTATAGTATAAGAGGCCACGCCCAAGTGGGCTGGTATTATAAAGGCTACTGGCTGAAAGAGTTCCCACAGCA